TATTTGCATACCATTTGTCGATCTTAATATGTATTGTTCTTGATGGAGTGAACACAGCATTGTGGTAATAAAGTGGCATACTTTAGACGTGTATAATATACATAGCCTACACTAATATGCCCGAAGCACATTTGTAATATTTTATCGAGTAGTGAGGTTTATGATCATAAAACAAAATCGAAACGGGGTTTAACGTCCTACTGTTCTGCTACGACTGGGTTAATGAAGACGGGCATGCGCCATACAGTGTACTAGGAGGGACATTTTGCCCGGACAGCGGCGCTAAGGCCTATACTCTTATATCGAATTCCAACTGCCAAAAGATCTTTTACGTTCACGCCAATGTGTACACGAAATCTCGGTTGTTTGTCCCATCCGAACAAATAAAAAGCTGTCCATCATTCGGTGTTCTTAGAAAGGCGTCATTCAACGTTCTTAAAGAAATCAAGTAGATGCTTATAGGAGGCAGCTTTGGCTCTTGCCAGCCTGTAAGAGTGTCTGAAAAGTCATAAGATCTGATTTCTGGGCTATAAACCTATATGCTTTCAAGTTTCAAGTATGCGTAACGTTTAAAAAGATGTATGCACCATCCAATTTGTAGTTTCCTGTATAAATACGGGATTAGACATTGAAAACACATGGTGAAGAACTTGCTGGTGTGGGCCAAAATGTCACAAAATGACGCACCTCTGCATTGCAGACATCATTTTGACAAAACAAAATACAAAAACATTTTTAATGGGCATCAATAAGGATAAGTCCCATTAATTTGTATCGTTATTTTTACAGAGATATTGATAACAAGATCAAATGGCCGAATCGATATTGGTATCATGTTCTTAAAGGTCAAAACAATGATGTGTCGTTAAAATTTTACGCTATTTTTATCCCCTTTAAAGCTAATACTGTATATATGGCTAAGTTTGTTAATTGACAAATCTAATATACATAATTATATAGTTTTGACCCAGTAGGTGAAGTACGGTGAATAATCTACAATTTTCTTCGTATATAATTATTTTAAGAAAGAAAAGGAAATTTGTCAGGAAATGGACTCGATGATAAATCATTATTGCAAAATGAAGGGTGTCTAATCGTGTAGCAATTATTTCAAACTGAAAGTAATGTTTATACTTTGGAACGCGTCAGAGATTGTATTGTGTCTACCATGTCATCTAATTGTTTTGTCTACGTTTTTTATTTGCGGATGTTTCATTCTAACATACTCTACCTTGGTAGGCGAGGACAGGGGACTCACTGGGCTGCTGCCAAAACTAGTTCTAAAAAGCATTTTGCACCATAAAGAAATACGTCATATGTTACGGTAGAGTTTAACAAATGGATACATGTATGTGTTTGTACCAAATAAATCTATCTATCTACCATATCGACATAAAAATTGCGTGATTGTGACAACTAAAAATGACCAGAATATCGTCATTTTCACTGTTGATGCAAGGGCCCCAGTGACATTTTCAGCCAGGGGCCCCAATTCAAACATAATCTGTCCTGGGAGAGGGTGTGTGTGTGTGTGGGGGGGGGGGGGGGTACTTCGTTTCCTGTTAATTTCTCAATTTACCGTAATTTGCCTTAAATTCGCAATTTAGATGTTGGTTAAAGGAGCTAGATCTCTATTATTTGGCAAACAGAAATGGACACAAATGGGTCGCAACGCACATAATAATGTAATATGAATGTATTTAAACTAATTTACATTCAATCGTTTCTGTTTTACTGTAATTTCTAAACAATACGCGAAGAGTGCAAATTGAATGGTAGCCTTTGGCGTCTGGTTATTTCAGTCTACATCAGCAGTATTCTCGTGTGGGATATGTTTAGCCTCATTCATCGAGTCGCTTCATTACAAATGGCTCTCGAAAGCATTCTTGCACACGATTCGTGTGCCAATTTTAAAATTTTCAATTTGTCGTTTATATTGGATATCAGAAGCCCATCTTTTCACGATAACAACAGTAATGTTGATTTAAATTGACCAATAAGTGGTGTTTGCAATGTCGCGGGGCTGGTTGATTGAATGGTTAATGCGTGCTCGTTGTATCATAAGGTCTTTCATTAAGTCAACTATCGGTGTTTCGATTCCTCGGTTTGTACGTGACAAGGAGTAGGGTCGCCTGTCCAACCTCGTGGGTTTTCTCCGGGTTCTCCGATTTCCCCCAACTGCTAAAGACCCCTGCGCGAAAGCGAAATGAAATGGGGTTTAACGTCCTACTGTTCTGCTCCTAACCTGGGCTAATGAAGACGGGCATACGCCATACAGTGTGCTATGAGGGAAATTTTGCCCGGACAGCGGCACTACGGCCTACTCTTATATCGAATTCCAACTGCCAAGGGATCTTTTACGTGCACGCCAATGTGTACACGGGACCTCGGTTTTTCGTCCCATCCGAACGACTAGACAGCTTTCCTTGTCAGCCCCTCCGTCCTGCATCACTGACAAGGGAGAACCACGCCGAAAAATCTGGATGAACTTTCTCGGCCAATGCAGGGATCGAACACCCGACCTCCAGGCTAGCGAGCTAGCGTCTTACCCACTTAGCCACGTGATCCCCCGCGCGAAAGCGAATTATTGAAATAAAATTGAACCAAATGTTAGTCCCAAAATGACCTAACTACAAAGTCATTTGAATGAGTATAATTAATAATTCATAGTTCAAGCGTCAATTGGATGAATCTAGAAAATACTAAGTATGTAATAATTCATAATTCATAATTCAAGCGTCAATTGAAAAAATCGATACAGTAACTAAAGAGCATTAGTTATGTTACCTTTGTTTCAGACAATGTCCACGAGGGCCCATTGTGGCTACCCACATTAAAGAATCCTTTCTTTTGGTTGTTTACATAAAAATTCAAATAAATAACTAAAATCACTGCCTAATGTTTCCGCTTCGTGAATAGAAAACAAAAGTAAAGTTGTTGTGCCATGTCTTGATCGCGTAGATTTCATTGAACTATCATGGCAAGATGTAAAAATGACTTTACTCGGCATAGCTAGGTTATTTCGGAACATCATAATATAATAATTCTTTATTTCAAAAAGGGAGCCACGGTGGTTATGTGAGTAAGACGCTGGCTCGCTAGCCTGGAGGTCGTTGGTTTGATCCCGGTGTTGGCCAAAAAAGTTTATCGGTATTTTCTGGCGTGGTTTCGTCTTGTCACGTGGTGCAGGACAGAGGGCCTGACAAGGACAGCTGTCTAGTCGTTCGGATGGGGCACAACCCGTGATCCCGTGTACACATTAGCGTGCACGTAAAAATATCCCTTGGTAGTTGGAATTCGTTATAAGAGTAGGCATTTGCCCCACTACTGTACTACTAAAACAATACCCTGCCTACAACCATGACAAAAATTACATTTCTGTTGTATTCAGTTTCGCCAGCACTTCAGTCAAAGCCGTGCGTTTTCATTGAAACTCAGTATAATAATACGAGAGAGATAGAGTTGGGGTAGAGAGAGAGGGGGGGGGGGTAACGTTGACTCGACACAAACTAGGTCATTTCGGGCCTCACATATGGTTCAATTTCATTTCTATAATTCGCTTGCGCGTAGGGGTCTTTAGTAGTGGGTGGAAACCGGAGGACCAAGAGAAAACCCACGAGGTTGGACAGGCGACCCAACTCTTTGTCACGTACAGCCGGGGAATCGAAACCACGCCAGTTGACTCAATCTCAGACCTTATGACACAGCGCGCACACGCTAACCATTCGGCCACCCCACCCCCCCCCCCCTCCCAGAATAGGTAAAAAGAATAAGAACAGTTTGATAGGTTACTGTCACTTTATGTTCAACCTTTTTGCCAGAAACTTCGGAGATATCAAAGTTTATTATCAATCCAAGCATCAACAATTCACTTGGTTGGAAATGGTTGCATAAACCTGGTTTATGGTTTTAATAATAAAACTTAAGCTTCAACTTCTTTTATACAGTGCCGAAATTAGGCACATGGTGCCCTGGCGCAATTTATTAAATAGGGGTCCCTATCCACCCATTGATATTTAGTTATATACAAATATTATTGATTTGTTTTGAATACACACTGTAGCAATATCTGAAATCTCTGAATGATCAATAGTTAGCAGTGTATGTAAAAAACAAATCGTCGGTCAGTTAACTTCAACCAGATTAACTCCGCATTTAAATGACCAACATGTCATGAGAACAATGTCGCAACGACAATATTGTTACACTAACAAAGGAATCAGTGATATCAGAAAAATTGAATTCCTTCATAGTCAAATTCAGTGTTCAACAATGCCATATTGTTCAGTCCCTCCTACGTCATAGTGGAACGCATAGTTGATTAAATTCGTTTCAAATGATAAAATATCATACAAGCGCAAATACAATATTCAAATTAAAGTATAATATAAATAACATAAAAAATAACAGTTATTTGGTTGAATGTAATTTTTCAAATATAATTTATGCAGTTGTTTTCTATATGCAGGTACGCCATGGGTTATCAGACACTGTTTCTTTATGGAAGTAACCACAGCGTGTGTCAGACAAGGTCACTGCTCTGAATTGGACTGTCTGGACGTAGCCTCTTTCGAAAATCATGTTTTCACTTCGCACGCCCTTTTATACGATGGACCGTTTTATATGGTTCATGATTATACATGAACCTCGTTAAGATTCTGTAGTCCCCTGGGCTACAGGTACTATAAATTCAAGGGGTGCCTATGATCAAAACTAACTCATAACAAATAAGTCAAGAATAACTTACCGGATCAAGATTAACGCCAGCAGGAGAGCAGTATGTCTCCAAACGTGTTGCACCATATACATAAACACCAAATGTCACATTAGGAAACAGGTGAGTAAGATGGTTGGTATCTGGAATCATCTGAAAGAATCCTCCGACAAGAGGTGTTTTCCCTACTTGATTCCATGAAACGTTAGACACTATATTGTCGTTTAATAAAAGACTTTCTTTGGCATAACCTTCTATTATCACAATGAAATAGTTTGTATATCTTTCAGAGGCGACGTAACTATAAGATGATAACCATTGTTCTTCTGGTATAATTACAGTAAGGCAGGGATCAGTTGACGGTTTTATTGACGTGCTATAAAACAACATGGCTGTCACCATAATAGGCTTAGTACTTGTGACGTAGTAATACTGATCGGAATTCGCTTCAACTTCGAACCAATCACCGGGTTCAGCTAACACATGTTGTTCTGAAGATCCGAAACTAGCAAAATCCACCTTTGTATTACTCACAGTTGCTATGACTTTAAAGTAGGTTATCCCTAATTCACCCTGGTTTGGTGTTGGGATTACGGTGAAGGACCGTCCCAGAGACTCCACTGGAATTAACTGCTCCACTAAATGATCCTTGGTACCTTCTCTAAATCTAGTTTTTTTATTGCCACTGAAAACAGCTATCGGTTCATTACTCCGGATACGGGTACCCGTCAAATCGTATTTAGATTGAATTTCATAAGTCTGGTACTGATCAAGATGAAGAACAACTGTTTCAGATCTTGTATACATTGTTCCGTCGATTGTAAGGTTTACAGACATTGGTAGTAATATATTTATTATTGTAGAGTTGTGGATTGCAACCACAGCAATCTGACACTTTACTAGACACTCTCCATTCATCCAGGCGTGGGTGACTGCGAAATAATCATTGCCCAAATTGGAAATTTCAAGTGCTAAAAAGGTGTCTGTTGATGGCTGCTCACGATTTAAACCCACAACTGTCAATGCATTGGGCGCAGTCACGAGAAATGTTTTGAACTGCATCCCTGTGCCACTTAGTTTTAATGAGGCATCAAAGGAAAGAGTTATACCCCGTGTGCGTGTTACATTGAAATACGTATACTCGTTGCCGTTATTAATTAAAGGGGTCGTCACATGTCCCGAGGTTTGTTGTATACTGGAAGACGCTGCGCCAATGATAATTTCAACTGTGGAGTTCTCTCTGCCTGTTACAGTATCCATGAATACTAATACATAGGTGTATTGCTGGTAGCTATCTGAAAATTAAATAAAAGGCTGTATGCAAAATTCCAACTTAAAAACGAGTTAATAATGTTTTATTTAGGTCAAAAAATATATTGAATTGATTTGGTTTTATGTGTATTATGTCGATGAGCGATTTGAAAAACTCTATTAGATTCAATTTTTGTTTCTGAAGATACGATCGGAGTGTTTAACAATTTGGTGGTATTTCAAAACAAGTGTTATCTTTATATGTAAAACTTTCAAGGAGGACACGCTTGTCACCTAACAAAACTAATCATCCAAATGAATTAGACATAGATACGTCGTACCAGTTGTTCTATTATTTTAGATATTTTTTTTCGGTTTCTTTTTATGGATAAATATAAGCAAAATCAAAACGTAATTTTATGAACGATATTAAACAAGCCCCCTATTCATCCAAAATGTATGTGTAATTATGGTTAATCGACAATAGAATTGAGAGCAGATATGGTGATATGAATTATTGAAATCTTGCGTTACTGAATGTAAAACCTGTAATCTTGGACAATGGAATGGAGTCGGGTTTAGAGTCTTGTCAACACAATAGTTTGGTCATTTTGGAGACTAACATTTCCTACTGTTCTCTTTCGAATTCCAACGTCTACGTGCAATCCAGTGTACACACGAATGGACCTCGGTGTTTTGTCCAATCCGATTAACGTTCCTTGTCAGCTGCAAAGGTATCCGCCCCTAACAAGCGAAAACTGGTCTTCTGTGCTCCCCTCGAAGCAATAACACCTCCATGGCAGTCGTATTTAAACCATATCTCCACACTTTAAATATGTAACGAACCGACAGAAAACCATTTACCTATTGCCGTGTTCTAATGTTGGGAAGCTGCTTCATCATTGGGGCTTAGCTGTCAAGAAAATGTATGGGAAAAAATATAAGATTTCCGTTCAAATCACGTAGTGTGTTCTACATGTCATTGTGTTGTTTGCGTTTTTACTTTTACACGACTAACCTTATGTTCAGGTTGTGATATTGCGTTTAAGAGCGCAGATTTTCACACGCTTTTAAGAGAGAGCAAAGGATCTAATCGAAGACTGATTACGGCTCAATAGGAATGGCAGGCAAAAGAAAATATACGATTTCAAGTAGCGCTGTTGCCCAAAGTCAGGGACGATATAATTTTGGGCTTCTTCTGTAATGATAACACCTTTTAATGAGTTATAATCACAAAATATAATGTTAGAGACATTGTTGACAAATACCTTTAAAGGAGCTAAATCTCCAACTTTTGGCAAATAGAAATGAACACAAATGGGTCGCAACGCATATAATAATATAATATGAATGTATATAAACGTAAGCTTACTCTTCCGGACACCTGTTACCACTGTTTGTCGTGTATTTTGTACACGAGGAGCAGTCCATTTGCTGATTACACTATTTTGCTTGAATACACTATTTTGCCTATAACGTTTTTTAGGACTTCGAATTCTGTCTTATGGTTTGGATTGGTCTTACTTGGTTTTATTTTCTTTTTATTGCATTCAATCGTTACTGTTTTACTGTAATTTCTAACCAGTTATGTTCGGCAAAATACGCGAAGAGTCCAAACTGAATGGCAGTTTTTGGCGTCTTATTAGTCCAGTCTACAACGGTAGTATTCTCATGTGGGATGTGTTTAGCCTCGTTCATCGAGTCGCTTCATTACAATTGGCACTCGAAAGCATTCTGGCACGCGATTCGTGTGCCAATTTTAAATTTTCATTTTGTCTACTCATCCTGGCAAAATTTTTATTTTTTTGGACCATAGGAACAGTGCCCACTAATCTAGCATAGGTGGGAGTCGTGGCATTTTGGGCGTGTCTGTTAGGGGTAACCCACCACATAAACTGTCTTACAATGGTCATTCCTGAAAACTGTTATGAACTGTAGTGTAAGTACGGTTGTGGTAATATACTGATCAAGTATTACTTTGCTAAAATGCGCCAAACGTGTAGGTTTCAGCATTTCCCAATATTAGCTATGTCTGTATATCCCGAGGTCAGAAATTGTAGAAGAATCGGTTGGACAACATATAAGAATATTAAAATTCGTATAAAAAATGAAATGTGTACTTTTTATCCATTATTATCATCGCAACCATATTGGTCATATTATATTTTTATTCATCAATAGCAAACCCGTTGATATAATTTAATTCGGAAGACAGGTTTTTACTTTCCCCCTTAAAGACACAAGAAGCCAAATCAAAAGACAAGCAAAAGACTGCTGTTCATAAACATCTGAGTTTTAAAAGATTCTTGATTTAGCTCGTGGTGACGTGTACGATAAAGATAACAGAATTAGTATATTATATTAATATATATGTATAAGGCACACATAGATGACGGTATGAAATATATTGAAACCAGTGTTAACTTCAAATAGTCATAATTTAAGTCGAGATTGATCGATCTAAATAATTTTTACATATCTATTCTCTTGACAAACCCATAAAAACATCTCTAGGCCATCGGATGGCTCGGGTATTGAGTAGATTAGACAATGCCTGACTACGTTAAACGCTTATGGACGAAAATGCGTGACGTCACTCACGAAAACTGTCGATAAAGGACTGGGGATAGAGATATAGCTTCCAATTTCTTATACATATATATAAAGTCTTTTTTGGATTAAAGGCAATATAAATTGAATTGCAACCGATAAAAGTAGCCATTAATGGTTCGCTCAGAATAGTTATCTGGCTGAAATTTCAATATATTCATTTTGTTTAAAGGATCAATACCACTCTTGTTGTAACTGAATAATATGTCCCAATCTTTAATCTGGTCAACAAATTGTACTATTTTACAATATTCCAATTAATTGATGATACAAATTTCATCTTAACACACCTAATTTAAAAAATTGGAAAAATTCAACTAAATGATTTAAAAAGCCTGACGTAAAGCTTTTCAAATGTGACTTGGATTTAAAAATATTTTTGAACCCTCTGGACAAGTAAAATAGGATTTAATGGATAATTTACACAACAGGTAAGACACTAACACATCTAATGCTTAGAATAAGGCTATTTTTTATTTTCTGGAGCTGTCAAGCCAGCAAGAGTGTTATTGTCCCTTTAACTATCATAGGAAGAACGGTCATCTCTTTCTTAGGTGGGCGAATGGTTTAGATCATAAGGTCTGTCATTGACTCAAATGCTGTGGTTTTTCTCTGGGTCCTCTGGATTCCTCTCACAGCTAAATACACCTTCGAGTTATTGAAATAAAAATTGAACCAAATGTTAGTCCCGAAATGACCTGAATTAAACCCCATCTCTCTCTTTCCATCTTGCAAAATGCCTCTTAAATGAAGGTAATTTGATTGCGTGTGGACTTTTAAACTGACATGTTGACTCGTTAAAAAAAAACGTTCATGGTATTTAGTTTCCAGCCAATGTTTCGATGTCATTGCGATTTCCTGAACGAAATTTTAGCAAACAACCTGTAAAAAAACACTACAGGCGAACCTACACCTCTTAAACTGTAAAGGTGTTCTTGAGTGCGCGACAGTTCTTATCTACGATATCACCCATGGTGGAAGTGGACGTAAAACTCTAGGAATAAACGAACGCGAGAGTTTAATATAAGTAAAACGACGTAATCTTTCGACATAAATTCAAGGCCGGCAGAAATTTAAGATCGTTTATACAAAATAAATTTTTACGGTTTTTTTTTCGGGGGGGGGGGGGGGGTATCTTTGTTCCTTGTCACTAGTATAACCTATTTTTTTCGGCACACATTGAAAAATATATAAATTGTCTCCGCTATGTACAGTAATTATTTTAAGATCTTAATGTGAAATTTGTTAGTGCATTCATGTCCGTTGGGGTGAAACTATCAAGTAGAAGTTCTATAAATGCACTCACCTTTTATTTGGGAAAATATGGCTAAACACACTGCATAGAGAAGAAACCCCTTCATCTTTTTTAATTTAAATATATCCACGTTAAAATATTTCCATTCCAAAGAACGCCATCGAATTTTCTGATCTTTTAAATACAATTTCCCCTGTTATCAGACCAACAAGTTTTAATCTATGTGAAGTCAAGTCCATAATATTGACAGTGGTGTATATTTCAATCTTTAACTTGAAGCTCCTATTAACAACCGTTATATCGCCGTGAATGAGCAGCAACGTTAATCAATAACACCGAAAAGTCAGTATTTATGTTGATCGATTACCTCTATTATCCGTTATGATTAGATATCCATCCTCAATTCTGAATCGCATCTCTCTGAGGTTTTTCGTCCAATAATAAATAAGAAAAATGGAAGGATAGTGAGTGACAATATTAAAATATAGGCCTATATTCAAAAATCTCCGTGTCGATAGACTTTTTTCCTTTTTTTAGTTACTTCAAAAAAACACACTACAAACAAAATAATCATTTCGGCATCCGATATAAGAAAATTTAAAATATTTCTATTGCGGTGTTTCCTAATTTTCATTCGAGAAAGGAGGATTTGAAAGAAAAAAATCAGGATTCATCACAGATTTGTCGTAATTAAATCCTATTTTAAATTTCTTGCCAATGTGGTAACAAAACCATGAACGACATGAGCAAGTATAAAAAGGGCGGTGAAGCGATTGCGTCCATGATGTTAGAAGATAAATCA